ACCAGTTGTTCTGTGACTAGTTTACAGGAGTAGATGATTCTATTGCCAGGCTTTTTACAGGTAAGGAAGACTTGGCAATGGGTTCAGAGAACATGGAGCATCTTCTTAAATGAAATAATTATGAACTTCAGAAGAAACAAAAGTTGTGCAAGAAAGGAAATGTAATCGGATGATCCTACTGGGCTCAGCATTTACCACTGTTGACGCAGCCATACCTGACACACATTCTGAATTACGATTTAAATAGAAATTGTTGTAGACTCAGTTGGAAGATTGTACCTCATGTACAGGGTAGTGACTAAATAATGTCAACAATTGGTAAGGTTTATCCGTTTATGTGCATTATCTAGAAATTCAGATGTCAATACTGGAAGAAACAGCTAATAAACAGAGAGTGGTTTCTCTAAAGAGCAGGAGTGGCTTTTCCTAGCCTCACAAGACTTTAAGTTGCATGTATTATTGCTTCTGTAATTTATTTTACTTCATGTCAATCATGCACATTTAGAAGGAGAAATCCCAGAAAATTTTGCAACTGATAATCAGGAAGTCTTTACCGATTACAGGCTTAGAAGAAAATTCGCTTGAAATATTATGTGTGAAAATATACAAAAATCCCAACTCCTTATATACCACAGGGAGTGATTAACTAACATAGGGCCCATCCATATTTTGGAATTCTCCACCCTTGCTAAGTTCCATGGAATAGCAAAGATTGGATCAAAGTCCACAAGGCACGGGAGAGCGGGAAAAGCCGCTGCGTAGTGAAGGGCAGTGTTGCAAATGTGCACGTACGCAGGGCACACCCACAGGAAACCTTTTCTGTCCACTTGACTGGGCCACAGGTGCCTGGAATCGGGTCAGTCCTATCTGGGTGCGCCTGGGAGGGTGTTTCCACGAGAGGAACGTTTGAGTTGGGAAAGCAGATTGCTCTCCCCAAGGGGTGGGCCTCCTCCCACCGTTGGAGCCCTGCATGGAACCAGAGGCTGAGCCTCCGGGATCCCAGAGGGGTCCTCCTGCCTGACCCGCTCAGAATGGGGACATTGGCTTTTCCTGCCTTTGACTCAGGGGAGACATCACCCCCTGGGCGTTCGGGCTGCTGCCTTTGTCATCCCACCATCGGCTCCCCTGGGCCTCCAGCTGGTCTGCTCACCCCAGGACTTGGGCCTGTCAACCTCCATAATCACAGGAGCCAATTCCTTGTAATAAATCTGTGTGTGTGTGTGTGTGTGTGTGTGTGTGTGTCTTTAAAACATTTTTCACTAATTGGATATGTTACTTTTGTAATAAGAATAAAAGAGAAATGGAATTGCTTGAAGACACTTCTAAGATTGGTTTTGGATGATGGAGGATGAGGTCTGCCCGCTGTGGACATGTCGGTGACGCCCTGTGCTGGACATCCGTCTAGACCTGTTTGGGTCACAAAGAGGCCGCCACTGAAAACAGCAGGACAGGGTGCCACCAGTCCTCCCTCTCTTAGCAACATTCTTCACCGGCCTTGCGGCCCAGGCCACAGCTCCCAGGCTGAGGGGAGTTGGGTGCCCCTGCAGCCTCTTCTGGAGGAGACCCCAGCTGCAGGGCAAGTGCTTCTCCCAGGAGCCCCTCAGGCTGTGGGCGGCCCCTCTCGCCCGCCAGGCCCAGCCAGCTCCCTGGTGCCTTCCTCTGAATGCTTCTGCTCCAAGCTCTTCCCTCCCCTCCCTGGTCCATGTCCCTCAGGATTGGGGACCCAGGAGAAGCTGTCTGGGACTAAACTTCCTCCCAGACCCTCTGCGCCCCCTCTTCTTTGCACCCTGCATTCCCCGTTCCCAATAACCAGTCCACACAGAGTGTCAAGTGTTTCGTTTAGTTTTTCCTTCTCCACCGAGGAGGCTGGAAATGGTAATCCTCACAGTGAGTAGCAGGAGGAGGCGGGATCTGTGTCCCGGGGTCTGAGATTCTTAAGCCATTTTGTTCCATCTTCCCTCAACTCCTCCCAATGCCTCTGCCTGTTCTTCCTTTCTTCCAAATCCCCAGTAGAGAAGCTGGGAGCAGGGTAGGGGTGGGGTGCAGGTGGAGATCTGCTGGGGTCAGGGCTCCTAGCCGGTGATGTTCCGTGTCATCTCACATGCCCAGTGTTGCAACTTCAGGCAGAAATCGTCGTTCCAGAGCCCATCCTCCCGGATTTCGGCACAGTCTTCATCTGCATCGTCCTTGTGCCCCTTCCAGTTATTTGGTTGACCGACACCCCAGTTCCTAGGAATGCAGGACAGAGCTCAGACTCTGACCACCCCATCCCAGCAACCCTCACCCACCTCAAAAAAAGCACAGCCTTGGAGAGTTCAGGGAGCAGAGGCTGCAGCCTGGGAGGCTGGGAGTCTGCAGGGGAGAGGGTTGGGGAAATTGGTCCCTAAGGATGGGTGGGTCGGGGAGGGGGCACTTACTTGTAGCTGTTCCCATAGTCTGTGCCGTCCACCCATTTCCAGGAGCCATCGCGCTCAGTGAGTCCTATCCAGGTGTGAAAGGGGCTCGAGTGCTGTGCAATGAATCTCTGGAAAACAGGTGGAATGGAGTGTCTAGTCCAGTGATGGCGAACCTATGACACGCGTGTCAGAGGTGACACACGAACTCATATATTTGGTTGATTTTTCTTTGTTAAATGGCATTTAAATATATAAAATAAATATCAAAAATATAAATCTTTGTTTTACTATGGTTGCAAATATCAAAAAATTTCTATATGTGACACGGCACCAGAGTTAAGTTAGGGTTTTTCAAAATGCTGACACGCCGAGCTCAAAAGGTTCGCCATCGCTGTCCCCTGTGCTCCGTGCAGGCATTAGCTGTGGGCCCTCAGCCTGTCCAGCCTGATCTGCCCCAAGGTGAAGCATCAGCCCCAAGCAAAACTAGGTCCTTGCTTTTTCCTTTGTCACCTTAGCTATTTTTAAAAAATATATATTTTATTGATTTTTTTTCTTTTTTTTAATTTTTTTTTTTGCTAAAAGTATTACAAAGGGTATTACATATGTGTCCTCCCCCCCTCCCTATTTTATTGATTTTTTACAGAGAGGAAGAGAGAGGGATAGAGAGTTAGAAACATCGATGAGAAAGAAACATGGATCAGCTGCCTCCTGCACACCCCCTACTGGGGATGTGCCAGCAACCAAGGTACATGCCCTTGACTGGAATCGAACCTGGGACTCTTCAGTCCGTAGGCCGACGCTCTATCCACTGAGCCAAACTGGTCAGGGCTCACCTTAGCTATTGTTTTGAGATCATTTGCTGGGCGGAAGCCCATGCTACATGCTTCATGGGTATTATTTTATCTAACCCTCAGAAGCCCTCTAATGCTTCTGATTTAAGGACCTCGCGGTGGTTGGGTAGAGCCCCCAAAGTCAATGCAGTGCTAAGTTTGTGACGCCCCCACTTCATTCTCAACCCCTGGCTGCTACCTGGACTTAGTCCTCTCGGGATCCTGACTCTGGCCCCTGTGCCTGCTGCCCCCCGGAGCCGTCAGTGTCACTGCCCCTCAGGGGCTTCTGCCCTGCTCCTGCTTCTGTGTAGCTGTCATCTCCAGAGGCTCACCGGGTCCTGGGGCTTCCATTTGGACCCACTGCCCAGAGCCCAGGATGCCTTAGCTACAAGGGGACTGGCTGTCGGTGCTGAATATAGGAGGCTGCCCTGGTATGAGGGAGAGTGTGGAGAAAGCAGATGGATGGTTGACCAACATACACACCCCACAGTTAGTTCCCTTTGGCAGTGTGTAAAGGGTCTCCAACTGCAGCTGGGGGGAAGTTACTAACTCCACTCTCACCTCCTGGAGACACAACTAAGGTGACAGTCAGTCACCTCCTCAGAGGGCAGACACAGGAGCATCCTGGAATCCTAGAATCCTGCACATAGGACACTGTCCTGTGCAGGATGGAGCGTCCTGAGAGGCTGCGGGGGCTCTTCCTCAAATTCCGAGGAGTCATCAGAGGTGGAGGGAAAGTGCCTGGAGACAAGACCTTCTAGTTGCTGCTGCCTGCTGGCCTAGTCCCCGCTTCCCATCACTCCCAGAAGCTGAAGAACAGAAGTAAGAGTGCAAATCATCAAAACCCAGGCCTCTGTGTCAAAGACTGATGGGAGGAATCAAATAGTGCCAGGGGGTCAGAGAAGACAGTCCAGGAGAATTCACCTCCCAATTCATGGTAAATAACAGGCAAGAAAGAACGGTGCCCATTCATAAAAGTGGCAGAGGTGAAAATGATCATGGAACTTATGCAAAAATAAAGAGGGGGAAGAGGAGGAGGAAAAAAGAACGGTGATATCAAAAAGAGAGGTGAAAACTATACTTTGAATGAAAGGCATGTTTTAGGACGGAGGGCGATGTTGGAGAGCAACTCCTTTACAGCCTCAAAAAAATTAAAGAGGAGATGAATGCCATGAAATATCAAGGAGGACATTTAAAAAGAAAGATCACACAATACAATAAGCAAAGAGAATAAATGCAAGAGGAAATTTTAGATTTATAAAACAACCCAGGACCTCAGCAGGAAACCAAGTTGAGACATGAAAGACGGGCCTGAGAAAGGGACCCAGATGCAGAGGGAAGAGCAAGATGGGAAGAACGGCAGCAAGATGGGGGCCGTGGAGGCGGACAACGGGCATCCTTTTGGGTGACGTGTTCCCGAGAAAAAGAGAACAAATGGACAAGGAAAAAAATGTTCACATACATGACTCAAGAAAATCTTCTCAAAAGTGAGAAAACCTAAGTTTACACATTAAAAGGACTCTCCTGGCCTCAGAGCAAAAGTATAGAATGAGCAACCAACTTATATATCTGGATATTTACAAAATTTAAAGATAGAAAACGGTCCAACTATTCAGGCAGAACACTTAAGGAATCGAGGAGAGAAAAGAATGAGCATTATAAAGGTCCAAGTAGCTAAAAGATTAGGTCTTCACTGTTCTCAACACAGAAAAGAAATGATAATTATGTGACAAGAGAAAGGTGATAGCTGACTCTATTATAGTCATCATATCGCGATATGTAAACGTACCAGACCAACATGTGTAACCTCAAATTTATACAATGTTATTTGTTGGTTAAATCTCAATTTTAAAAGGAAAGAATGAGGTGTGTGAATAAGTGTGCTGGTTTTCTCATCTTTCATATGGAAAGTTACATAAACTCCTTGTTTCTTTTGAAGCCAATCATTTTCAGCCCATCATTGAAAGTTATAAAAGGAATCACTCGTATAACTAATAATAAGCTACACTAGTTCAAAATACCATGGGGGAAGAAGACAAAAAGAACACATCTCACACAACAAATGTAAACAGAAAAACCACAGATTAAGATTAAGCATAGCTATTAGAAATTAATGAGATACACACCTGTTAAAAGACTCATTCAATTTTGTTTTTAAAAAAATATAAAACAAAACTTAAGCACAACGTATAGGAAAAATACCTTAAAGTTGGCTGCACAGAGGCATCAGTTGGGGTAACTTTTAAAAATCTGAATGCTCCAGAGGAACCCAAGGTTAATGAAATCAGAATCTTAAACTCGTCAAGTATAAAGGCTTATAATTCAGAGCCAAGGCTGAGAAGCCTTAATCCCAAACAGAGCATTATAAGCGTCCTGAGAGGCTGCTGGGGCTGTTCCCCAAATTCCGAGGAGTCAGCAGAGGTGGAGGGAAAGTGCCTGGAGACAAGACCTTCTAGTTGCTGCTGCCTGCTGGCCTAGTCCCTGCTTCCCATCACTCCCAGAAGCTGAATAACGGAACTAAGAGTGCAAATCATCAAAACCCAGGCCTCTGTGTCAAAGACTGATGGGAGGAATCAAATACAGTGGGGCCTTGACTTACGAGTTTAATTCATTCCGAGACCGAGCTCATTAACTCAAATTACTCTATCGACTCAATGCAAAAAATCGGCTGAGAGACAGCTGGTATCTCAAAAAACTGGTTAGTCGGGACACTCGTAAGTCAAGGCCCCACTGTAGTGCCAGGTGATCAGAGAAGATAGTCCAGGAGAATTCACCTCTCAATTCATGGTAAATAACAGGTTGGAAATGAAAAGATGGCCAGAGATACATTCAGCCAATGCAAGGGAACAGAGATCAAGGTCCGTTCTATTTGTGTTGCATAAAGATGAATTCAAGGCAAAAGCATTAAAGCCTACACTGGCATTCACTTCAGAATGATGAAGGGACAGGTCCGCCATGAAGTTGTATCATCAAGAACTTGGGCGCCAGCTCACAGAGCACTGACATCTTGGGTTGGCCCACATGGAACTGACATTTGTGTAGGTCCAAATGGTTTGAAACAGGCTGTTTCAACCTGGTTGGTAAAGCCAAATGTGCTTGTAATTATTCAGGCAACATGTGGTAGTGAAAACACTGGCGGAGGAGGCAGAGTGGCTCTAAATTCTGGCTCCATCCTGACTTGCTAGCCGCCTGGCAAGTCCCTTAGCTCCCCTGTTCCTCAGTTCCCTCCCTTCTCCCTTCCTCCGAGTGGGGATGGTAAGAGTACCTACCTTGTAGGGTTATGAGGATTAAGGGAGTGAATATATATGAAAGTGCCTGTCACATAGTAAGGACTCGGTAAATGTTACCATGAATATCGTGTGTGTGCGTGTGTGTGTGTGTGTGTGTGTGTGTGTGTGTTTTAAAGCCCCACCTATTCTAACAGGTTGGCTCTTCCCTGTGAACGTTGGTGTTTGGGGTTGTGGTGTGGAGGTGGCAGTGGGCAGATAAGACCTGGAGGGCCTTGGAGGGACCCAGTAACCCCATGTCCCTGGGAATCCTGCCCTCTCTGCTCCTTTCACCCAACTGCCCGCCACATCCCAGGCCGGCACACAGCGAGAAGGATTCTCAGTGCCCCTGCGCTCTGCACCCGAGTCCTGCCTTTAGTCAGTTCGTCTTTGCGTTCTGTCTCCTGACCTGGCCCTCACCCCCTGCTCACCTGGCTCCTGCCCCTTTGCCCGAGCTCCTGGCTGTAACCTTCCACCTCTTAGATCAATGGCTGCTCCACTATGAACCGCCCAGCGTTCTGCCAGCCTGCTGCTTCTGGACTCTTCCCCAGGTTAAAAAATGATAAAGCACCCGATCCAGCCGCCCAGGGTTCGCATTCCAGAGGCGTCTCCTGCTGGGGAGGTGCGGCCTCACCTGCTCCTCCCTGGAGTTGATGACAACCAGGTGAGCGTTCTCCAGCTGGCAGTACTTCTCAGCCTCGGGCCAGGTCAATCCAGAGCGAGAAAACCAGTAGCAGCTGCCTTCATACTCCAGCCAGCCCATGGGGCAGCAGGAATTTTGAGAGTCTGAGGTGGGAGTGGGGAGGTTCTGAGATGCTGCCCAGTGGGACATGGGCAGGATATGGGGCTAGGCGCTGCCCTACACCACTCACCATTGCTCTTGAGCGCAGCCATCTGACAATGCAGGGTGTTCAGGTCTTTGACCAGTTGCTGGACTCCCAGGAGAATTTCAGAATAACCTGGGACACACAGAAGGGCAGTGGGGACCATGCAGGGGGCCCAGCTGAGGGCTCTCCATACCCTCCCCAGGCCCAGGGGAGGGGAGAAGGGGCCTGACCTGCTTTGAGTTCCTGCTGCTCTTTCTCCAGCTTGCTCTCCAGAGAAAACACCGTGTCATTCAGGCTACGGGCTGGAGGGGAGGGAACTCAGCACCCCAGCCTGCGCCCACCCCACCTCTGTCCTGAGAGCCCGGCCCCCACCCTTGCACACTCACTCCTGGAGGGCCTCTCACCTGCTTGCAGTTCCTGCTCCTGGTTTTCCACCACAGCTTTCAGAGATGTTATTGTTGCTTGCAAACTGCCACCTGGAGGACATGGGGACTCAGTGCTCAGGATTTAGCCCCCCCTCCCCCACGACCCCTCCCATCCAGAGCCCCTTCCAGCCAGGCTCACCCTGGGAGTGCAGTGCCTGGACCTCAGCCATCGTGTTGGAAGTGAAGTTGCTGAAAGTTGCTCTCAGGGTCTCCAGGTCCCTCCGCATGTTGGCATCTGACCAGGCAGGTGGGACAATGAGAGCTAAGATTGCTCAGTCCTCTCTGTGCTGACACTCAGCAGGGCACTTGACATACATTGGCTCATTGAGTCCTCACAGCCACCCCACTTCAAGGGACAGGCACTGTTGTTATCCAAGCTTGCAGAGAGGAAACTCAGGCTTCCAGAGGTTAGGCACTTGGACTACATTACCCATGAGTAAGCAACAGAGCCAGCAGCCGCCTTTACCCACCATGATCATCATCAGTGCCTGGGTTACTGTGCCCACTATCGCCCCCTTCCCTGCCCATCCTGGGACACTCACTTTTGGATCCAATTATGCAGATATCGACCAGCAGGAAGAGGCTGAGGCCCAGGAAGAGCAGGAGGAGGCAGGGTACAGAGTAGAGACGCTTGAGGAAGGCTGGGGGAGGACATGGCCCTGCAAGAGGAGAGGACAGTAGGAGCTGGAGGTCCAGGCCAGGAGAGGCACAGGGGAGGAGGAGAGGGCCACAGGGGTATGTCAGGGATGGAGGCCGGTGCAAGTAAAGCTGAGGGGAGGCGTGTGGTTCAGGGGATTCCCAGGCCCCTGACCCCTCATGAACCAGTATAAGTCCTAGTCACATGGGCCCCACCCCTACGGCAACACATGATGGCAAAATGCGGGAGAGGGGGCAGGAGGACACAGAGTGAGTTGGGGCAACCAGGCCCTCAGCAGGCTCGTGCTTGTCTGTATTTTCAGGTTAGCACATGCTTTCCTTTCCAAATACGAGTGTTCCTTCTCCCCCAGTGCAAACGCTCATGCCCTTCCCGAGAGTATCGGCCACCAGGCTGCTGTATTCCTCTCTGACCCTGTCTTTCTGGGACCTTGAATCCTCTTCATACTGGAGCCCCCATGGTCTGGGGTCTGACCCCCCTCAGAATGGGGGACCCCAGCAGTGCACATGGTAGAGGTGCAGATACGCTGTGACTGCAGAAATCCTTATAAGCACATTAAGGGTATTTTAGAAGATACCCGTTCTCCTTTCTTCTTACCCTTTCTTAACCCCTGGCTTTTCTTCTCACTCTCCAAGGACTGGAGGTCTTCATAGTTCATCGACATCCTTGGACCAACTCTGAGGCTGTCAGAGCTGAAATGGAGGCAGGGCCAGTGGCCAGGCGGGGGCTGGAGATAGGAGACAGGGAAGCTGGGACTAGGTTGGAACTGAAGGCAGGCTGGATTTGAGGTAAGAGAAGAATTTCAGGTTGAGGATGAGTCAGGGGTTAGGGATAGGAATGGGCCTGGGTTTGCAGCAGAGGTTGGAGGTAAGGTCAGGATTGGTCTTTGGGCTGGGGTTGGGTTGAATGTGAGATTGAAGGTAAAGGTAAAGTTGGAGCTAAAGGAATTACTAGGACTGAGTCTTACATTAGGGCTGCAATTAAGGTTGCATCTCCTCCTAGGACAGGGGTCAATACTCATGCTGATGCCATGGATGGCGTGGGGCCTAAGCTTGGCCCTGAGGTTGGAAACAGAAGAGAGTGAAGCTCAACTTTGGGTTGGGGCTGTTTAAGATTCGTGTTGACTTTGGTGTTCAGACTGTGGTTAAGGGAGGAATTGGTGTTTGTAATGGGGTTAGGGCTGGGGCTGAAGATGGGGCTGGAAATGGGCTGCAGATGGGGCTCAGTGTGAGTCTCAGTTTGTGACTGAGGTTTGGCTGCCAAAGTTCAATCTGAATCCAGTTAGTGAATAGAGTCTGAAATCTCCACCAGGTCATTGAATCTCTAAGCTGCCCTTTTATATCTCTTCCTATTCAGTCCCAGTTGAGACCCACAGCCCCCTCTCCCTGCTTTCTCTAACTCCCTCCCTGTCCCCTTGGTCTCACCTGCATCCCCAGCCCGTTACCTGTGCAAAGTCTGGAGGCTGCGATTCTTGGGTTTGCAGTGCAGCAGTGAGTAGAGTTGAATAAATTGAAATCCTGGAGAGTGGGGTAGAGGTGCCTGAGGAGGAGTCAGGTCAGTAACTGGAGTCCTGCTGGTCTCTGTGTCTGAAAGCTCAGGAGTCAAAATCTGGGAACTCCCGTTTCCTCCGCTTTGGCAGCAAATAATCAGATCACAAGCTGAGTCTGCGTGTTTGGCGTGTGAGATATGAAGCCAGCTTTGCTCTCCTCCTCAGGGTGTGTCTCCTCCCTTTCCGCTTCTTTTCAGTTTTTCTGACTTCTTCATTTCTGGTATTTGGGAGATGAGTCCTCTGACACACTCCCTTCACTTCCTGCATCTGAGTTCCTGGAGTTGTTGGTGTCTCCATCATGGCATACCCAGGCCTGCCCTTGTTCAGTTGTGGCCTAAGTTGCTGGTATCTGACCTTTCTCTGGGACCTCAGCTACCAAGCTCCCCCAGCTCTTGCCTAGCTCTCTTCACTCCACTCAATTGGAGGGAAGAAAGTGAAGAGCAGGATTCCTGGCCAGAGTGGGAGCGGAGGAGCTGAGGAAAGGAACAAACTTTATTGATCATCAAATTTCTGACAGGGATTGTGCCAGACACTTGCTGAAAGTTCACCATTTAGTTCCTACCAGAATCATGGGAGACACGCTGGATGATTAGTATTATTGAAAAAGTAAATTTGACCTTGTGGACCCCTGACAAGGTCTCAGGGACCTTAAGGAGTTCATGCTCCACACATTGAGAGCCTTGGTGCAAAGTAAGTAATATTTTATAATGACCTTTTATTCAGCCATATTGACAAGTTATTTTTGTTCATTCTAGAAGTTTTTAAAAAATACCAGCTTCTTGCATCTGAAGGTGTCAATGATTAGAGAAAATTATGTCAAAACATTTTATTTTTATATTATATTTTCTTACTTATACATTATATTTTGAAAGTCAGTTGAAATGGATTTAACTCATTAATGAGGGAGTCAACAGCATGGTCCCACGCTGGCTCTTGTATGCATTTGTTATCCAAAGTTATACCAGACTCTCTTCTGAAAAAGGACTTTGGTTCAAAGAGGATCAAACTGCTCTTGGGCGATCATGTAAAGTTTTCCAAGTTACCTCTGGAAACCAAGACTCTTAGGTAAGGAGGGGATGAGATGGAGAAAAGAATGGGTGACACTATACTAGTTTGAACTGTTCTTAGAGTCCTATATTAGAAGGACTTTTTGATTATAAACTCCAGGAGGTCTCTGGATTTAAGTGATGCAATAAGGCCATTCCTTAGACAAGGGTGTCTCACATGGCCCATGATGGGTTGAACTGTGTCCTCTAAAAAACATGAAGTCCTTAACCCCAGTACCTGTGAATGTCACTTCTGGAAACAGGGTAGTTGCAGATGTAATTAGTTGAGGTCAGACTAGAGTAGGGTGGGTCTTTACGCCAATATGACTGGGGTCCACATGAGAGGAGACACAGACACACAAGGGAACAAGCCATGTGACCATGGAGGCAGACTGCAGCACTGCGGCTGTAAACCAAAGAATGTCAAGGGTTGCCCGAGCACCACTGGAAGCTAGGAAGGCGCAAAGAGGTTTCAGAGGGAGCATACCCTCTTCATTTCAGACTTCCAGCTTCCAAAAGTGTGAGACCATGCTTTTCAGTTGCTTTTGTGGTCTTTGAAAGATCAGACAGAGGCTGAAAACCAGGACTACAGGCTTTATTAGGGGAGAAGGACCTGCCGGGCTGTCTCGCAAGGGGAGGACAGCAGCACGTGCAGGGGTGAGCACGCCTTTTGAGGGAGGAATGGGAAGGGGTGGGGGCTTAGAGTACTGGGCGCACACTGATTGGTGGCTTACTGCATTGTTCATATAGGACAGGGGTTTAGGCAGGGGTCCTCAAACTACGGCCCGCAGGCCACATGCAAATACAAATATTGTATTTGTTCCCGTTTTGTTTTTTTACTTCAAAATAAGATATGTGCAGTGTGCATAGGAATTTGTTCATAGTTTATTCCTCTTTCTCACTGCAGATCATCATTTTCTCCTCTGGCCAACACTCTCCATGGTCATTTTTGGACTGGAACCCGGATTCTTTGTTCGAATGAATCCACAGACAGAAAGTGATATAACAAAGATGGAGATTTATTGAAGAACAAGTACAGACTCTCACATAGGGAAGGAGAATAGTCCCACTGGGTTCCTTTCCCTATGGCTTATAAAGGCTGCAGATTCTGGTGCCTGAAATCCCCTCTGATTGGTCAATATTCCACTTCGAGCTGGGTTCAAAGGTTGAACCTCACATGAGACATGTGAGGTTCTCCCCCCTCCTTCCCTCTGGGTTTTCTTCTTTTCCAACTGAATGAAAGGCTTCCTTCTCTTTGTTTTGTAAATATAGACCTTTCCTGGCTACTTCCAGTTCCCTTGTCTTATGTAAATGCAACTGTTGTTGCTCCCTTGTCTTATGGAGCTGTAACTGCACCTGGCTTCCTTGTGTTATGGAAATGTACCTTCTCCCAGTCTGCAGCCCCAAACTTTTCCATGGACCCCAATTCTAAAAAATCCCTAAGCCTGCCTATGTTCCCCCGAAATTCCTGCTTCAATTTCCACTTTCTTCTTATGCAGGTCTGAGCCACCAACCAGTCCAGAGTGGTCCCTTCTCCCCTTACGACCAAGAGCTAAATTATGATTGGTTTAAACCTAATGGAGAACACCCTCTCTCTTTTATGGGTATTGGTTTAAGAGAAGACATGTGACTTGGTTTTGGTCCAGGACACTTGAGGATCTGGAAAACTGCTGAGGCTTCTGGCAGGTTTTCCTCCCGGATGAAAAAAGAACGCTATCTAAAGGAGGAACCCTGCTTGTTGCCTTCTTGCTGTGGATGTGTCCTTGTTGATGACACAATGTTTGGAGCGGTGGAAGTGGACCCATGTCTATGAAGGGAAAGTCAAGAGTATGGAGTCCATTAACTACTGTGGCAGTGTGAACGCACTGTGACCCTTTGGGGGAAGGCAGAGAGCTGGGTGTTTAGAGGACCCAATACTGGCTTAATGCTGTACTCTGAGTACAGTGCTCTGCACATCCTGCTTCTCATCTGGAATGAAAATATTCACTTCTCTTAGAGTTGATCTACTTGTAAGTTGGGGGTGAGGGGGAGGACAAGAATCTGAACAGAATCTGAAGAAAATGTATGAATCATTGGCTACAAAGGAAGACAAATGCCTCCAGTTGTGCCCCCAGAATTATTAGGATTTGAAATGTCAGAATGAGTCACAGCTGGTCATGTTTTATAAGTAGAAAAACAACTCCATTGTATATTATTATTCAAGTGGTGCATGATTACTTCATGGGGGCAGATGGGAACAGTCTATTGCCATTTAAGAGAATGGTTTCAGAATGAGAAAAGAAAGCCATTAAGTAAATCACCATAAGCAGTGCACAAGCCTCCTGACTTCATCAGTTTTCCATGGGTTGACTGAGAATAAGGGGCAAGACACTATCCCTTCTGTACACAGAGGCATAGGCACTGCTGCCTGCAATTAGCCCATTCAGAAATTAACACCTAAACTCTCCAGTGTTATACCTTGGCCATGTTGAACTGCAGCTAGGAATGGAGTGGTTTTGTCCTAGGAGATCATAAGGAACAGAATGCTTATTATAAACTAGGCTGCCTTAAACATCTGTAAGAAATTTTATAGATGGCAACTGTAAAAAAGACTAAAAACAATTGTTCTCTTCTGTAAGCAAACTGTTTGTTGACCTATGTTCTGCTGGAGTCCTCATTGGATTCTGTTGATCCAGTAGATGGACATCAGTGAATAGGAAATAACCTAATTTGCATTACACTTCTCTGCCATCTGACCACTCACGTTAATCCTGAGACCTTTACCAGTTCACTGATCACCAGTCAGAGCCAATGCTGAGGTAGATGAAGGTCTATACTTTTCAACATAAGGGACTGGGACTAAGCCCTTCTTGCCTTTGCTGTTCTCATTCTTCCACTGCTCTTCAGGTGTTGCCTGGATTCTCAGGGTGCCTCCTTTCTTAAAGGCAAATCTGCATCACACTCATTGAAGTCAAAGAGGGGTTGGGTCATACCTCCTCTGGCTCTTCCTGCCTGAGAATTACCCCACTTCCCTGCCTGGTCCTGGAAACTGGTTCTATCAACATTGTAGTGTCCAAATAGTGCATTTTGTAGAATTCCAGTAAGTAGGCAATTAATCACATATCTGATCTTCTGTTTGAAATCTAAGGGGACTCAACCCAGCTACTCCACTCCTCGGAGAGAAGCCACCCATCTTGACCATCTCACCACCAGTCCCAGGACCCACTGCACAGTGGACCAGCTCAGGTCTAGCCTCACTATTGTGTTTGAAATGGCAGTGCCGTTGTAAGCACTCCTTACTGGAGAGCTCTCTAGTCCTTTAGTTTCTTTTTTCTTATTCATCTTGTAAAACTCTCTTCTACTTATTAGATATACTTATTTTGTATTTTCTCAATAACTCCAACATCTAATTTCTACACAGGTTTATTCTGTTTGATATTTTTGCTGACTTTCATTCCTGTTTTGTTTTGTAGTGTGTGTGTGTGTGTGTGTGTGTGTGTGTGTGTGTGTGTGTTTTCACCATAGCTCTTAGTTATTGGAACTTTGTCTTCTGAAATTCTTTCAGGTCTGGTTTGGTATATTCCTATAGAAAGGATTTGTGTTTGCTTCTGCTAAGTGCCTGAGGTCCTTCCAGGCTGAGATTACTTTAAATAAATCACTCAGCTGGATGTTCCTTGGACCTCACATGCAGTGTGTGTATTTGTACCCTGATCCTCCAACTGGTCTCCCTGTCTCCAGCTGGCCCCAGCAGTCAATTCTCTTTACTACAGCAGAGTGGTTAATTTTTTTTCAAATTTGCCCTGGCAGGTGCGTCGTCCCATGCACCATAGGTTTCAATTCCCCATCGCATTGGAGCACATACCCAGGTTGTGGGTTCGATCCTCTGTCAGGGCGCATGCAGGAGGCAACCGATTGATGTTTCTCTCTGACCTCAATGTTTCTCTCTCTCTCTCTCCTCTCAATGAAAAATGGTTTAAAAAATTCAAATCTAATCTGTTCACAAAGGCTCCCCATAGCCCTCGGGACAAACTCCAGACTCCTTAGCCAGGAACACAAGGCTCCTTATCATTTGAATCCAGCCTGAAAACCATGTCTTCAGAACTCTCTCTCTCTGTATACTTAGCTCCAGCCCATGAGAAGGGAAATGACTGAAGTATGTATGTATGTATGTATGTATGCATGCATGTATGTATGTATGTATGTATTGCTACTATATTGATGCTCACTTCATCCCAGACATTATGTCAGGTCCTTTACAAAGAGTGTGGGTGGCCCTGACCAGTTTGGCTCAGTGGATAGAGCCTCGGCCTGCAGACTGAGGAGTCCCGGGTTCAATTCCGGTCAAGGGCATGTAGCTTGGTTGCAGGCATATTCCTGGTGGGGGGTGTTCAGGAGGCAGCTGATCGATGTTTCTCTCTCATCAGTGTTTCTAACTCTCTATTCCCTCTCCCTTCCTCTCTGTAAAAAAATCAATAAAATATATATTTTTTTAAAAAGAGTGTGGGTGTTTCTTCTTGTTCCTTGTGTGCCTGTGTGGTGGAAGAGGAAGAAGCTTGTGGTCAAAATCAGAGGGAACAAATCACGTTAACAATAGTAAACAACATGTCCCTACCAGAGTCCTAGGAATGGACCCCTCCAGAGTAATCTCTGGTTTTCCAATCGCTCCACGCCCTTCAGGCACCAACGGGGAGTTCATAAATGGTTTGGCCAACACTTTTGGCTTCCTAGGCAACACTGATTCTTTTGGGAGTCAATAAACTTCTTCAGGTCTGTCACATTTCTATAAGCACTCAGAAAGCTTTAACCCTAAGTGCTGGGTCCTCGGGGGAGAAATCAGCTCTCTTCAAGGACAACAGGGAAATAAACCCAGAAACCACAAGCCATCTAAGAGCAGCCAAACTTTATGTTCCATGAACGCAGGCTCTGATATTACCCCACCTTGCTGCTCACTGGCCATGTCCTGGAACATCTGCTCCTGAGCCTTTGAGTAAGCTCATGACCCATAAATCAGGATGCCTCTCCTAGGCAGCTGGTTGACCAGATGCCCAAGGCCTTGCCCTCACCTGTCTGTAGGCTTATGCAGTTGTGCCTTCCCTCCAGGCCCGGCCACCACATTCTTCAAACTAAGCAATAGGTATCAGACTCACAAACGTGCTTTACACTGGGATCAGTCACACTTCAAGACTCTTGGTTGTGAATCAAGAAAGAGAGATGTGACCAGAACTTGAGCAGAGATGGATAAAGCCTGGAAAAGTTATTTGTCTGAAGGGGACAGAGAGAAGGAACCTTTAAGAAGAGAAGCTGCCCACGAATTGAAATGCTTTGAATGTTAGGGAGAAGGCTTTGCAGAGGACAGGGGCAGAGGAGATTCGAGGCAGAAAAGAGGAACACTGTTCAGGAGAAAGGACACTGAAAGGAAAAGACCTTGTGCGCGGACAAGAGGAGGTTTGTGTGGTATTAGCAGCAGCAGCCATAGCCTTTTCAGTTCCCAGACCCTCCCAGCGGCTTCAGGACTTCCCCAGGGCTCAGTCACCCTCACCCCACTCCTTCCAGTGTCCACACAGGGAATTCCTCTTGAGGAAAGAGAACAGACCTTAACACCTCTGCCTTGTGCATGTGAGACCTCCAGAATGTCTAGTTCACGTGCCTCCAGCTGCAGGAAGACCTGTTGTCTGACTCCCTGTCTCCTCCCATCTTGGCTTTTGGTCCTGGCTGACATTCGTCAGCTGGGAAGCAGAGCCTGGACCACTGTAGCAGATCTGGGGGTTGTCAAGAGAGTCCCCTGAGAGGCTGAGTCCCTTTAAATCAGATGTGCGGTCCCAGGCTGGGGCTGGAAAGACAGACAATGGACCCAGACAATTCAGAGGTAGCTAAAAGGTTGGGTACTGCAGAGAGAAATGACAGACCTCACCCCTTGCCCCTGCTGGTGTGACTCCCCTTCTCAAATCAAGACATGAGGAGCACAGGGAACTGGACTGAAGTAGAGATGAAGGCCAGCTGTGGCCAGAAAATGGGAGGAAATGAAATGGAAAGGAAACTCCATTTGTAAAGTGCCTACCATGTGGCTGGAGTTGGCCCACTTATTTCACTGAAGTCTCACCAACAATCGAAATGCCTAGAAAATGTTGGCATTAAGCACCAAGAACTATGGCCCTGGCCTGTGTGGCTCAGTTGGTTAGAGCGTCATCCTGTGCACCGAAGGGTCGCGGGTTTGATTCCAGTCACAGCACAGGCTCAGGTTGTGGGTTCAATCCCCGGCCTGGGCTGGTGCAATCTGGACTGTTGTGGAGGCAGCCGATTGATGTTTCTCTTTCTCTTTCTTGCTCTCCCTCTCCATCTCCCTTCCTCTACCTCTAAGAATTAATAAAAAGCATATCCCCAGATGAGGATTTAAAACAAATCAACAACTATGTTTTTAACACGTCCAACTTGCTTTTGCAGGATGCACGCACACTGCTGCCTCCATTCAAATCCCATTCCCATCCTGACAACCTGTTTTTCGTGGACATTTTAGGCTGCCTTGCACCTCACATTCTTCTTTTGTTTGAGAAATTCCCAATAGTATTATTATATTCATTTCACCTTATTGAGTTATGATTGACATGTCCTACCTTATTATTTCTGATGGGAGGCAGAACTCATCCTACCTGCAGACACTGCAAACACCAGGGGCTCACTTTCCTGGTGTCCTTACCAGCTAGGATGAGAGCACATGACCAAGGTTCAGTTGGTCAGGAATACGGGCCCTGGACTTGGATTTAGAGCTAATGGTGAATGAAGCAGAGAAGGGGTTCTGAGCAGCCGCAATTTTTAGGCCCTGTGAACGCAGAGGGCCAGCAGCGACACCTAATGGTGACAGCCGTGGTGTTGGCCACCCACTTAGCCCTGGGGCAGTCTGCGTTCCTGCCAAACCTAGTTCCGCAGCCTTCTTGATAATTCTGAGAGGTACCCAGTAAATCCTGTAATCAATCAGTTCTCTCCCTAAACAATTCTTTGGAATGAGTGCCTATGGCTGACAGCTAAGAACTTTGACACAGATATTGGCCAAAATTCCAGAACCAGAAAATGCCAGATAAGACACATTTGGATATTTAGACACACAGACCAGGTTCAAATACTTTAGTGGGGTGCTCCCCGCACTGTCCTGGAGAAGGTTGTCTTGAAAGATCCAAGAGCTCAAGACTCCAGATCTTCATCACTTCAGGGGACCAGGGCGGTGGAGGGTGGGGGTGACAGAGGGAAGGGATGGGGAATGAATTGGAAGAGTCACTGGAAGACTTGGTAGTGGGGGTAAGAGAGAAGTAATGTGGGGTAGAACTCCCACCCCATCCCAGGGCTTGGCTCCAATCTAGCTCCAGCCTCGCCTGTCTCATCTGTGCCAACTTCAACCTGACCGTGGCCTCTTCCAGCCCCAAACCCAGCAGACTACTTACTCAGTCTCAGTTCCAACACAAGGTTGAGGAGACCCAGCTTGGCTCTCCATGTATGTGTGGTCATCCAAGCAGACTGTCCCCTCTACACAGAGATCCCCACTGTCCTGAGTGGATGGCTGGCTTTACCTTCTCGCTTTATTACCCGCCCCCACTTCAGAGCATCTCAGCAGATGTGCTCCCCTGACCCCAAAACACAAACCCTGAGCTGATGATCTCATCCTCTTCCCAGGTCATGGTTTTCTTCCGCTTTTCCAGACCCTGGGTCTGGACTTGGACATCTATGCTAACTTCCCATGGCATGGTCTCGGGGTGAGCTGGGGAAGGACAGGTCTCTGGTGGGTGAGGGGTGAGAGGCAGCTCTATTAGGCACGTAGAAGCCCAAGACCAGCTGGGCCAAACACCAGAAAGTCTCATATTTTTGTGTACCTCAAATAGAGCTGTGTTTCCTGTGGGTAGTACCATCCATCTTTGCCTGTCCCCTTCCCTCCCATCTGCAGAGGAGCCCCCAGTGGGTGTACCCAAGGAATGGCTAGGCTTCGTTCAGGGCTTCCCCAAGGTTGCAGATCCCTGAGGCCCCCAAACCTCCCACAGGTGCTCCCATGAGAAAACCCCAGAGCAGTTTGGGTTCACAAACACAGACACATCCCTGACCCTGTGGTCCCCAAAGCAAATGATGTACAGACCTTGACCCTCTCTTTTTGATCCCCCTAAAGACCCGACCTGGCTCAGTATCTGCGTCTGCGGCTTTCTCCGAGTGGGAAAGCATTCGCAGTTTGGCCCATCAGCAATCCCTTCCTGTAGAATAAAGTGGGATGCAAAATTCCACACACATTTTCAATGTCAAACAAGATGTTTCAGAGAAATTTCCTACACATAAAAGGTCTATAAACCCACACTCTCCTGACTTTGAAATGAGTCCTCTTTCCTCTGTGTTCAGCTTCGAATATCAGTGAATATTAGTCAATGCTACGTCAGTGGACATTTTTGAGAAGCATCCGTCTCTGGGAACACATCTACATTTCTGAGCCTGGCCTGCAAGACCTTTCGTGATGGGACCCTCTGCCCCAGCAGCTTCCTTCTACATTGTCCTCCTACACGCTCTCTGTCCTCCGCACGGCAGCTATTTACAGAGCACCAGACAATAAACAATGTGCCAAGCTGGCTCAGGCCTTTGTGATTTTTCCACAGGCTGCTCCCTTTGCCTGGAATGGCCCCTGCCCACACATCCATCTGGCAAACTCCTCCTCATCCTTCAAGACCCAGCTCCAATGGCTCCTCTTCTGTGGAGCCACCCCAGCAGGATGAGTCAGCTCCTACCGTGCAGCACTCTATGATGTCAGTGTCTCTCTCCTAGTGTTGAGATTTCTTTATTTCACTTTTTTTCTCTAATTTGATTGTGAGAGCTTGGAGGGGAGAGGCTGTATCATTCATATTTGCATCCCTAGCATAGCATCTGGCCTGGTAGGTATCTATTAATATTTTGTATGAACAAATGAACAAAACTTACTTAGACTCCTTTCTTCTCTTTTATTTTTAGAATCAAGCAAGGGAGACCAGCATTTTCTTATAAACTTTTGGAAATGCTAAGAAAACCACTCGCTATTTATATTAGTTCACACAAACACTCCATCCATGCTTTTGTTCCGGCCCTCCGGTCCAGTTTAAGAACCCATTGTGGCCCTGAGTCAAAAAGTTTGCCCACCCCTGGTCCAGACCAATGAGTTTCTTTGACGTTGAAGCATGAAGATATAGCCAGGAGGCAAAATCACGGTGGTGCTTGAAGGCTCTAGTCAGGTTCTTCCAAGTCACAACAGCAGCAATAGGGCAGACACTTGTCACGTTCCAGGCACCATTTTAGGTTCTTTTTTAATACATGTATACACGGTGACTCATTTAATCCTCATAAAAACCCCATCATGTAGCTACTCTTATTATTCCCATTTTAGAGATGAGAAAACTGAGGCACAGAGAGATTGAGTAACTTGCTCACAATCATACAGCTAATAAGTGGCTGAGATGGGATTCAAACTAAGGAAGTGTTGCTTGGGAATCTATTCTCCTACCCTCAACGTTACGTTAGCTCAATGAGCAAAAGATGTATAGTGAGGGTAATTTTGGCTAAGAATGTAGGGGACATGCCCTGACTGGTTTGGCTCAGTGGGTAGAGCGTCGGCCTTCGGATTGAAAGGTCTCAGGTTCGATTCCAGTCAAGGGCATGTACCTTGGTTGCGGGCACATCCCCAGTAAGGGGTGTGCAGGAGGCAGCTGATCGATGTTTCTCTCTCATCGATGTTTCTGACTCTCTATCCCTCTCCCTTCCTCTCTGTAAAAAATCAATAAAATATATATTTTTTAAAAAAAGAATGTAGGGGACATGAGGTAGAAGAGGAATGTGCCTGTTTACAACCAATCACCCCAGTGCCAGGCTCTGGAATGTCCTCTGGGTTGGTAAGTATCTTTTGAAGGTGCTCCGCATAACTCTGTAGAACTCCCAGACCCAGAGGGCCCAGTCTCCTCTTTGACTGCCTTGCGTTTTCACTTCACCATGGAGAGGGAGAGGTTTGTTTCCGGGGACTGCATTCAGCTTGGAACAGGATCCTCACCGCCCATCTCAGGCAGTGGGCTCCCTGCCCTCCCGGTGGCTGAGGATCTGCTGGCTCCACCTCCCAGGTGCCTTTCACAACAGCAACCCAGGCCAGGAAAACCAGTGAGGCCACTTTTCTAGGATGTATTTGGCAGACCTTAAACTTTCAAGGACTCCTGTGCCCCACCCAGGACAAACAGAGGGCATGACATATGCAAAAATGCAGGAGGGAGAATATATTGACAGGCATGTCCATGGAGAGGGCGAGCACTGTGGCCGAGGGAAGGGTGTGGGAGGAAGGGGAGGGTAATGGAATGGAAAAGTATTCTGGGTCTACTTTTGGTTATGAAAGGCCTTACACCCAAAGAAGAGAAATTTGATTCTTTTCCTCCTGTAGGCAGTGGAGAGCCATCAAAGGTCATGCCGTATTTGTTAGGTTTACAGTTTCACTACTTAAGAAGGTGTTTGTTTTTTTCTTTAACTGCAGATGCTTTTCAGCAGTTAGGAAACACTGCCATCATGTGGCTTTTGGGAGATACATGCTCCAAACAGTAATTTACCTAATTTTCTGATATTGTTTAAGAATGAAACCAAAGAACACATCTCCTGATTTAAATAGCTGAAGTATAGCAATGGTGACCTTAATTCTAATGTACAAAGGATGCTTTTACTAAAAAGTTTTTGCACAGCAAAGGAAATCATCAACAAAATGAAAAGACACTTGCTGAATGGAGAACATAGCCCCAATGATACATCTGATAAGGGGTTAATGTCCAAAAGTTGTAAAGAACTCATACAGCTCAGCACCAAGAAAACAAACGATCCAATTAAAAAATGAGCAAAGGACCTAAATGGACGCTTCTCCAAAGAAGACATACAGGTGGCCAATAGACATATGAAAAGATGCTCAATGTCAATAATCATCAGAGAAATGCAAATTAAAACCACAATGAGATATCACCTCACACCTATCAGAATGGCTACCATCAATAAATCAACAAATAACAAGTGTTGGCGAGGATGTGGAGAAAAGGGGACCCTCATGCACTGTTGGTAGGAATGCAGACTGGTGCAGCCGCTGTGGGAAACAGTATGAAGGTTTCTCAAAGAATTAAAAACGGAACTGCCTTTTGACCTGGTGATCCCACTTCTAGGAATGTATCCTAAGAAACCTGAGACACTAATTTGAAGAAATATATGCACCCTCTATGGTCCTTGCAGCATTATTTACAACAGCCAAGATCTGGAAACAGCCCATATGCCCATTAGTAGATGAGTGGATTAAAAAAGCTGGGGTACATTTACACAATGAAATACTACTTAGCCGTAAAACAGAAGGAAATCTTACTTTTCGAGCAGCAGCATGGGTGGACCTAAAGATTATTATGCTGAGTGAAATAAGCCAGTCAGAGAAACACAAATACCACATGATCTCACTTATATGTGGAACCTAATGAACAAAATAAAAACAGAGGCATGGATACAGGGAACAGACCGACAGCTGATGAAAGGTGAAGGGATTAAGCAAAACATACACACACACACACACACACACACACACACACACACACATCTCACACATCTCACACATCTCACACATCAACACAAAGACAGTGTTGTGATAGCCAGAGGGATAGGGGGGTGGGTTAGGTGGAGGTGGGCAATGGGGGTATAAATGGTGATGGAAAGAGACTTCGCTTTAGGTAATGGACACCCAATGTTGAGTTGTACACTTGAAACCTGTATGGTTTTGTGAACCAATGTCACCCCAATAATTTTTTTTTAAAGGCTGTGGTACATATATTACGAGGCCAATATAAAGAATATAAACTAGTGGTTCTCAACCTGTGGGTCGCAACCCCTTTGGCGGTCAAACAACCCTTTCACAGGGGTCCCCTAAGACCATCCTGCATATCAGATATTTACATTACGATTCATAACAGTAGCAACATTGCAGTTATGAAGTAGCAACGAAAGTAAATTTATGGTTGGGTCCCAATATGAGGAACTGTATTTAAAGGGCCAGAAGGTTGAGAACCACTGAAACAAACAAAACAGAAACTTACTCATAGGTACAGAGAACAAACTGATGGGTTCCAGAGAGGAGGGAGTGTTGGGGGACGGGGTGGAAAAGGTGAAGGTGTAGTTACAGAATACTCGTGGGGATGTAAAGTACAGCATAGGGAATATAGTCAATAATACTGTACTACGCATGGTGCCAAGTGGGTACTGGAAATATCAGGAGAACACATCATAAAGTATACAATTTTTGCCCTGGCCGGGTAGCTCAGTTGGTTAGAGTGTCGTCCCAATATGCCAAGGTTGCGGGTTCGATCCCTAATTAGGGCACATACAAGAAGCAACCAATGAATGCGTAAATAAGTGGAACAATAAATCTCTCTCTCCCTCTCTCTCTCAAATCAAATTTTTAAAAAGTGTATGGTTACCTAACCACTATACTGTATACATGAAACTAATACAAAATAATGTTAAATGTAAAAAATATATGCACTTTTGATTAAATGAAAAAACCCTACACATTGCTTAGAATTGCCCAAATTACACTAATGGTAATCTAATTAAAAATAAATAAAAAAAATTAAAGGTTACAATTAATAAAGGTTTTAATAAATCAGTACCTGAGCCCTGGCGAGGTAGCTCAGTGGGTTAAAGCATTGTCCTGATACACCAAGGTTGTAGGTTTGATCCCCGGACAGGCCACATACAAGAATCAACCAATAAATGCATAAATAAGTGAAACAACAAGTTTCTCTCTCTCTCTCTCTCAACTCAGTAAATAAATTTAAAAATTTTTAATTAAAAAAAATCAATACCAGGGTTCAATTCTCAGATTTCTTTGTTTTTAAAAGTCTAATCTCTAAATCTTTAGTGATTCTGATGGCAAAGATCCTTTCTATCCTTCCAGTGCCCCCTATCTTAGAATCATAAATTCTCTGGCCCTGAAAAGGCTGCCTTTCCAGGCCAGTTTGGCATCAAATTGTCTCCAGGCCATTTCCCTCCACTATGGCAGATCCTGTTTCAGTCCGAGGTCTATTCTTCTGGTTAATCCTCACCTGAGGATGTTTTTCCCCATTGAGTTTTAGACAGATTGGAAGAGGGGAGAGACGCAGAAAGAGAAACATCGATGTGAGAGACACATTGATTGGTTGCCTGACCGATCTGGGCTGGGGATTGAGCCTGCAAACGAGGTACATGCCTTTGAATGGAATCGAACCTGGGACCCTTCCGTCCGGGGCCGACACTCCAACCCCTGAACCAAACCAGCTAGGGCTATTCTCCTTGTATGGTCCCACGTTGGACAATCCCAAAATGTAAATACATATTTCCACCATCTGTTAGCTGTGTGGTTTGGGCAAGTCACCTAATCGCTGGAAGGTCCAATTACTCCATCTGTAGAATGAAGATGACACCATCTTCACAGGGTTATTGTGAGGATGAGAAGATGACATGTGGGAAGAGTGCCTGGCACATCACAGCTCCTCGGAATAAGGGAGTCCCTCTTCCTCCCCTAAGGCCTGAGGGCATATTACTGTTGGGCACACAGCCAGCGCTCAGTGGAGGTCTGCGATCTGACATCCAAGATGCACTGGTCTTGCAGCAACGTTTTCTACTCATCCCCCAGCCGGGGGAGGCACTGCCCTTTTTCCAGGGAATCCCTACCTCCCTTGCCCTTGGGGGGGTGGCAGTAGAAAAAAAAGTATGTTTTCCCCTCGGTATCATAAAAGGTTAAAGTTTTTCTTTTTTAAAAAAAAAAAATTTAGAAAATTGACCCCTGCTAGGGGGGGGGGGGGGGGGGGGAGAGAGAGAGAGAGAGAGAGAGGGAGAGAGAGAGAGAGAGAGAAACTTAATCCCCGTGGGCCTCCGTTTCGGGCTTCCCCCGGGGTTCGCTGATTGGCTGTTTTTACTGCCCCCCCCCCCCCCCGCCTCCCCAACACAGCATCCCAGGTGGCTCAGGCCCCGGGGTGATCTCTGTTTACCGAGAGCCTGTCCAAGTGGGGCTCCATCTCCGCACTCGCTCCCCTCGGCACCTCGGTCCCCCCCCCTCCCCCGCCCGCCTCAGAAGCGGGAAGAAGCCAGACCGAGCCATTCTTCGCCCTTTCCCCCATCACCCGGAGGGGTCGGGTAAGGAGTAGGGGGTGTCGGGGAAGGGGTTGTTCCAGGGATATCCCCTGTCCCCCGATCGGGTGTCTCGCGGGTAACTCGCCGACCCAGGAGTTGCATCCCTAGGCCCAACCCCCGCCCCCTCTGCCCCTCCCTGTCGTGCTCCGGGTGACATCCCCCTCCCACCCCCCAACCCTCACCCCGGGAAAACAGCCAGGAGCTGGACCTCAGGTCCCTAGAGGAAGCACAGGCATGGAGACTTCACTCCACGTGTTGCTTTCTCCCCCAGACGGCGATGACCCCCAAGCCTGCCGGGACCCTGGACGGAAGCCCGGACGGGGGCTGGGGCTGGGTGGTGGCGGCCGCGGCCTTCCTGAAGAGGCGGGCTCTCCTACGGGGCTGCTGCGCTCCCTGGGCCTGGCCCTCCCCGACATCGCTGAGCACTTCGGCCGGACCTCTCAGGACACGGCGTGGGTCAGCGCCCTGGCCCTGGCCGTGCAGCAGGCAGCCAGTGA